CTTCAGGGATGGCGATTAAAAAGCTGAACCAGCACATCCCCTATCAGTTAAGTCAGTTGTCCTGAAAGTCTTTCAGGGATGGCGATTAAAAAGTTGAACCAGCACATCCCCTATCAGTTAAGTCAGTTGTCCTAAAAGTCCTTCAGGGATGGCGATTAAAAAGCTGAACCAGCACATCCCCTATCAGTTAAATCAGTTGTCCTAAATGTCCTTCAGGGATGGCGATTAAAAAGCTGAACCAGCATATCCCCTATCCGTAAAGTCGAAAAAAAAACTCTTTATAACGGTCAACTTGTCAAAATGTCTGTGGATACTTACCTAGACGGCTATGACACCAAACTGAACGAGTCTGTGCGATGCACCGCTCTTTTATAGCCGCAGTTTCGTCCGCTTGTCCTGTTGCCAACTTGTTCTGTGTGTTTACATATGCTTATGAGTATACTTAGCTTAGGTTGGCTGCAGTCGCAACCTTAGTTACGACTTGCATGACCCTGCTTATACATAACTTGATATCACTTACATCTAGCTTATTATTATGTTTGTTCAAATTTCGACGCAACAGGCACCCAGGTACCAAATCGCGTGATTCAATCACCGTTAGGTATGTGAGTGCTTGTGCCTTCCTCTACCACTGTGTTTGCATGTGCTTGTTTGCTTTTTTTTTTTGTGTGTTTCTACATGTGTGATCGTGTCTTTGTACATTTGGTGTATGCAGTTTATGCATTATCGTATGTTCTTATTATTTTTTCCCTACCGAAGTTCAATTCTGCTTGTTTTGTTTACCCTAACGGTGCTACACATTCTGCGCATTTTTACACATAGAGATTCTTGCTGAAGTTTGTTTTGCATGCATAGATTTTCTACCTAAGTTCCATTTTGGGATTTTACTTGTATTTATACTTTGAGTTTTTATTTAGCCTTTGAGTACTTAAACATTTTGAGATTCTACTTGGGTTCTTACCATATTGTTTTCTTACATCTAAGTTTTTCTTTTATTTGGGTTCTTGACTCCGCTATTATATTTTGAAATTTGGATTTAAGCTTTTGTTCCTTTTAATTGAGTTCTTGACTCCGCTATTACATTTTGAAATTTGGATCTAAGCTTTTTGGTACACTGGGGTTCTTAATCTGTGCTGTGGTGTGCTTCTGTGGTTTTACGGAGGCATACTCACTATGTGCTTGTACTTTTCTCTTTACACCCATGTGGTGTGTGTTTCTATGAATTAACTCACGTGGGCCTGTACAATATGTGTTTAGACAATTTTCTCGTTACCAGGTATAGGCATATTTAATGTGTGTTTTATGATTTTATCTTTACAAGGTATCGGTGTATGAGTGTGTGATATCCTGATTTTGTCTGTACAAGGGATAGATATACTTGGTGTGTGTTTTATAATTTTATCTTTACAAGGTATCGGTATATTAGTGTGTGATATTATGATTTTATCTGTACAAGGTATAATTAGTGGGTGTTTTTATGATTTTGCATTTCAAGTTGGAGGGGGTTGCTCGTGTATTGTTCACAGAACGACATGCGGACAGATCGGACTTGCTGGTTGCGGATTTCGGGAGGACTTTTAAGCGGACGGACTAGTTTTCCGTAAGGAAGCAAAATCGCTTCCTTACAATTTATATATATTTTCTTTTAAATTTTAAAGAACTAAAATATTTTATATAACAAAAATTTACAACTATAAAATCTAACACGTTTAACTTACGCTAATGAAATTAATATAAAATTAATGTAAAATTTGTTATACACAGATCTCGTCTTCGTAACTTTTCATCTTTTCATTTTTCAACTTTTCAGCGGCAGTTATTTATTTACATACAATTATTAAAAGTTTATGAGCGACTAAACACATACGTTGATTAGTTAAATAACAATATAACTCATTAAATACGAGTTTGTGTGTATGGTTTAAAAAAAAAAAAAAAAAAAAAATCTAGCAGAACAATTTGCAAAATATTTATTGAACCATTAATTACAACCAGAACCCGAAAGTATATGACACCGCCGAAAGTATAAGACACCGCCGAAAGTATATGACACCGCTAACAAGTTTCCATAACACTTTGATTATTACATTAAATTAGCGTGTATGTTACATAATAATAAATATTAAAAGCAGCAGCAGAATTTTCGTAGCACTGTTGATGACATGGTTTCTTCACTACGTTTTGAAAATATATAAAAGAATTGCTAAACAAACATCATAACAATAATTTCAAGGGGCGTCGAAATTTGCAGTAATAGTACACCGGAGTACACACGAAAGTTTTTACACAGACAAATTTTTGATGAAATGAAAAGCAAAAGAGATATAAATATATAAAAATGTTGGCTGCTCCAAAGCATCGGCCACTGCCTTTAGAGAAAATGAAATATAAAAATGAATGGATGCAATAAATATGTCGTTGGGTATGTACAAATATTTTAATTTATTTATTTTATATGTATTTTTATATTTTTTTTCAGACGAATATATCGCCATATATACGCCAAGTACTTGAAGAGGACGCGCGACAAGTGCTTCAAGAGGATACACGTCTTGCAGAAGGAAGAAACGCGAGAGAAATAATAAAAAGAATAAGTCTATAAATCGAAAAAACAAAAAGGAAATTATTTTAAACATAGGATCACGGTGATCCCGGCAAAAGTACGGGCGTGTGAAGCATTTCTCTAAGATAACATTACGAAGAATGAAGTTTCACGGAAGGCTGATAGACTTTTCTTAATATATTTGTATTGAAATCAGCTTAAAGTTCCTATC